GAGGAACATCTGTGGAGAGTGTGTGTTCGTCAGAGAACACACTGATCGCCCTCACATCTGACTGCTCAGGGACACAGATTTTAATGTACAGCCACTGCAAATATATATGAGATTGGCTTATGGTTATCCACCTTTTTCCTGAGTAACCGATGAGCACCGCCCATGATGGATTCTAACTTACGTTTGGATGCTCTCGAGTTCCGATCGCCATAGAAATGCATGTTAAAATGGGGTAAAAAGACCGACTGAATTAATTAAACTGAAACTTTTTAAATATGACTAAATCTAAAAATCTGAGCAGGGTTAAGCTGTGTGGAAATGCAAAGCTTTTTCCCATTATGAGGCGGACAACCGAGAGGGTGTTTTTTTTTTGGTAATGCTTACAGGTTGCTCTTTCAAAGCATGAAATTGATTTCTTAATTATGTTTCTTTTACGAATCAGCTTTTGGATGTTTCACCTTAGATTAATTAAGAAACACAAAAAATACTTAAATGTTCACATACAGTAAATGGACGTGAATATCATCACTTAGATAAGTAAAAAATCCCAATCATTTTTTACTTTGAGAAACTGATTTTTTGTGAAAAATCACAATAGACCATGAGCTTTGGTGGTGTATGCTTCTGTTGTAAAAAATAAATAAATGAATTAATACAGTAAATAAAATAAAATAAACTTTTAAGAACTACACTACCCATAATCCTGAACAGAGCTTCACCAATCAGATAAGTTGCTGTTACCTTGGAAATGTGACAAAAAAAGTCATTTGAATTGTTCACGCAAACCTGATATAGTTGTATTTATTTAAAGTATAATGATTTTACGTAATCAATTACTTCGCTTTAGCCAGTATTTTTAGTTCATGAGATTAGTTCATTTCCTCATTAAAGACATTAAGTCTTTTTTTTTACCATTTTCAAACACTTTAGCTTAGAATCAGAGGTTGTAATGCTGTAGTTCATGTCAAACCCTTCTGAAGATAAAAGTCGATGGTCACTGTTGTTTTTTACTTAGTCTTATAAGAATTTGATGAGCAATGCTTGAAATTGCAGACTAGTATTTTGGCAAATCTGAGCTTAGTTTAAGACACTATTGAGATCTTCTGACTAATTTTTTTTTTTTCTCGTAAGAAGAACCGAAGCAAGAGATTAAAGGGGTAGTTCACCCAAAAATGTAACATTCTGTCATCATTTACTCACCCACATGTTGTTCCAAACCTGTATGAGTTTCTGTTGAGCACAAAAGAAGATATTCTGAAGAATGTTGGTAACCAAACAGTTGACGGTAGAAATTAGTTCTCATAAGAGTGCATAACAGTTTTAGAACTCGTTGCTATGAGAACTGATTGGATATTAAAGAGATCTTATTTGGGATTTCTTCTTTCCTGTGGGAGAGTTGGTTGGTAGTCAAAGAAAGGAAAAGGAGAGGGAAACGCCATGTGTTGTGCTTTAAATGCTTGATTTGTGCTTGATTGTTCGCCTGCTATGAAGAAGTGCTTGAACAGGACACATGTGCCTGCTTTAAACACATGACAACAAGGCGGTTCAAAGACATAAGTTTCTTTCGAGAACGTGTCCTAGTCATATTTGACCACAAAAGACAAAGATAAAACCCATGACCAAAACATAATACAGATGGGTACAGCTCAACAGATTAAAAAAAATCATAATAAGCTCCAACCAAAATTGTATTGTCCTTCTGGTGGAGCCGTGCACTTTAACTGTGGTTCACTCCAAAAGAGCGATATCTGAAGATAGGACATCCAAGCTGGGATAGATGGATCCAAACACAGTTTCAGGGTAACTTTTTTAGCAGTAGTACAGGCAGCAGACAGAATCCTCCTTCGATTTACAGACAGTGACAATGCAGAATCATCAATTAAAAGAAAAAACAGTCCATTTGGATCTGAGTCTTCAGAAGATCTGCCAACAAGTCCTGAACTGAGGACTAGAAGGGCTCAATCTGAGAACGGTCCCTAAACTTATGCATACATGTACCCAGACTTGTGCTGCTTTTTTTTATTCATCTTATATAATAAACAAGGAGCGGTATATGCCTTATGAACTTATAATGAATCAGTTAATGAGCCTGGTTCTTTGAGGTAACAAAACAATTTCTCCAGACAGTGTGCCAATCAATCACTGTGTTGAGTTTTCTCTCCCAGAGGCACATAACCGGAATATTTAAATATTGTAAAAACACAAGTGATTCATAAATTATACTCACTATACCACTAGAAGCCAAACTAGAATCTATCCAATCTATCCACAGCCTCAGGGAAGTTCACATGACTTCCTAATGTCATTATTTAGTAAGAGTTTGGGCTGAAAGCTAGAGAACACACCCTGAAGGGAAAGGTAGTCTGTGCGACTGAAGAAAGGGGTCTTATTGAACTCATGCCACAATAAAGACATCATGTGACACTGCCTGCTATTCATACCAACTCCAGTTTGAGATAAGAAGGAAGTTATTAACACCGTTTGATCTGAATTAATTCTGCAGATTCATTTAAACAGGCTTGGGCATAAAATGTTCTGCTTTTTTAGAGCAGCCCAATCTTTTGAGAAAACGTAACTGTTTTATAGTTGGTGGGTTTGTATGAATTGTACAATTTTTAGAATAAAAATGTCTAATGGTGTAATCTAGGTTTTGTTCCACCCAGTGATTAAACAGGAATAGGTTTACTTTATGTGGCAATGAACACACCATCACCTGAAATAGCACTTGGCTTTGAGCTGAAAATAAAGTTATTTCAAAACAAATTCCTCTTTTCTAAGCTGTCCAGTAAAAATATTAACATCTCTATGCTTCACTCCCACTAGTTTATTATGCTTTTCCATTTATGGCAGGTAATATTACTACTTTTTTTAACAGGTCTCTGACTAGCCTTTTCAGGAACACCAACTTTCAAACAACAGCAAACAAGTGAAATTGCTCAGGCATGCATGCTCACATCTAAAACATAAATGCTGAGCAAAGAAACAGAATTCCTGCAATGGCCTCTGTTTACTAGAGAATATAGCCCTATGGTTTGGTTCAGTAATAGTGCACTTTAGACAGGACTTACAAGCAATAACTCTCTCGCATTTTTAGTATTTTTTAGTGATGCAGTGGTTTTATATGTTAAAGTTTTGCTAAAGGTTTTCTGGAGTACTGTTTACTTAGGTTTGTGGCATCCTATGTTGTCCAAACTTGGAACCAATATCAGCAAAGGAATTTCATGCAGTTGGAACAGCATGCCAAATTTGTAGCCAACGTTAAACAAGAAAGCATAAAATATAAACTCATGTAGACTAATAACAAATTTTTAAATAGCAAGGTTTTCATTCCACAATCATCTCAGCATTATTCCAATTGATGCTAAATGATCTAATAATGAACATAAACCTGGAACATTGAAAATGACCTCAGAATATGTACATAAAAAAAGGCTCTGTCAGAGTTTTCATTTAAAAAGGACTGTCCCATCTGGTGAATGAGCAGCAATGAAAGCAAAGCTCAGCATAATAAGTGGTATTTTGCGGAGACCATGCAGTGCTTCATTCTGCAAATGCATCTCAACCATCTCCCACAGGGTTACTAGACCACTTAAAGGTTTCAGTACCAGATCCACGAAATAGAAGAGCCCCTGCAATTATTCCTTTGGAAATAAAGAGTGTCTACATAGTCTAGACATCTGTGTTTTTCTTTTAGTAAATAACTAGGGCCTATTACCCACTTCCACCCATTAGACATGGAGATGGAGGGGCATAAAGAAAACTAGGGCATGCAAAACCTTCTCTTTTCTATTTTTCTTTTAGTGTTTTCTTCTAATTAGCCTGTGAATACTGTGATTCTCATGAGTTGAGCATAAACCATTAAAGCCTTGCTTATCTTATGATGTTCCTGTAACTTAACCCTTAGAGCAGGGCTGTCCAAACTCGGTCCTGGAGGGCTGGTGTCCTGCAGAGTTTAGCTCCAACCCTAATTAAACACATCTGAACCAGCTAATCAAGCTCTTACTAGGCATAGAAACTTCCAGTCAGGTGTGTTGAGGCAAGTTGGAGCTAAACTCTGCAGGACACCGGCCCTCCAGGACCGAGTTTGGACAGGCCTGCCTTAGAGCAATGCAAGGTCATAGGTTTGGTATGTAGGAAATCAGATGTAGCTTGCTTTGGATGAATGCCTCTGCCAAGTGCATAAATGTAAATCCTTCCAGCAAACAGAAGAAACTAAAACTGAAAATATATGTACTGTGGGTATGTTAATGGGATACTAAGTTGGTCCATGTTTTCCTCTCATTTGCAAGACTTGCAACTCCATTACACCATTGCTGAGTAGACCTCTGAAGAGAAGGGACCGTAAATTATTAATACTCAGGATCAGATAGCACAGGTCAGAGTTCAACAAGCCCATTATCTTTCACATCTTATCACAGTCTACCTGTATTATGCATGATGGTCACATGCAATATTTCCTTATTTTTCCTTTTTCTGTTCTCTGATGTTCATACAATTACAGTACAATTAAGTACAGTACTATGCAGATAATGCAAACTAAGTACTTGGTTTGGGGCAGGAGTCCATCTGTGCACATGTTTGGCCATTGCATAATCTTACACTATTTTAAACGTTACATTTTTGCATGCAAAGAGTTCACAAGAACTACATCCCAGAACAACTCAAGCAGACTTGAGTGTGGATTACTTGTGCACACACAAGTTCAGAAAAGAGTGTTCACGCTATCCAAACCAACCAAATATTTGCATCAAACAAACCCAGTTGTGCAGCAAAAGTGTTACTTTGTAGTTACTATTATTACTAAAATTTAAAGGCGTGAAATGTCTTAAAGTTAGAAAAAGGTCATGTCTTGCAATTATAGAACTTTCATGATTGATCATTGCTGTCACTGCCAAATATGTGAGTACTCAGGTATTCATCCATAATGCAGTGTAAATTGTGACAAAGAATTACATAAGTGCATGTTTAGACTAATGTGACCTCTGTCTTTATTTCTCCAGAAGTCCCCTGTACACTCAGAGGATGACAGTGAGCTGAAAAGAGAGAGAAGCCTGAAGACTGTGAGTTTTTTCGATTCTGTAAGTGTGATATCCAGTGGTGAGAGCAGTATGGAGCTTGAAGTTCAGACAGAGACCCAGCAAAGTTATGTGAGCAGTGGGCAGAACAGAGTGAGACATGGAGGAGAAGGGCTGGACAGTGAAGTTGCCAAGGAAATCCTTTACCTTGATCAGGTCCTTGAGGACAACAGTTGTGATCCCAGGGCAGAAATGACTTCAAATGGGACAAGTTCCCCTGATATTAAGTCAGTTAGAGTTCATGGAACTGGACCATCTGTGAATACTTGTGACCCATCTCCCTTACACAACCATGACATTGTTTTAGAAGGGAAAAAACAGACCACTTTTGTTGATGATAATTTCAACACCAAACCAAATGGTCATGCGATGGACTGTACAAGGACACCTGAGTCACCTAGGACAGCAATCAAGAAAGAGGCACGTTTTGAGCTCCGACCTTTTCATGAAGAGAAGAAACCATCAAAACTATTTGACCCCCCAACTGAGAAAGAAGTTCGGGTGAAGAAAGTCAGACCCTCGGAGGAGATTGCAGAGCTAGAGAAGGAAAGGCTGGAACTCATCCGGGGTCAAGCAGTCAAGAAAAATCCTGGAATTGCAGCAAAATGGTGGAACCCACCTCAGGAAAAGACACTGGAAGAGGAGCTGGAGCCGGAGCAACTGGAGTCTCTTCGAAGATATGTGGAGAGGAAGCAGATGAGAACAGAAGCCAACCGCATACCACAAGCTGCACCCAGACAGACAACTTCCTTTATCCAAACTGAAATAGAAAATAGGGAGGATGTTGTCATGGAAGAGATTGACTTTTCTGCAGCACGCAAGCAATTTCTGCAGATGGAACATAGCAAGCAGCCCACAGCCCCTAAGAGGAATGTGGCACCCCAGCTTTACTCTGCCAAACCTTTCTTCAGGACTCCAGAGGTCACACACATAGAGAGGCCATGCAGTTCTGTCACAGTTGCCAATCAAGAAGTGGTCACATCCTACGATGAAAGTGAAGTTACTACAGTCAAAGCTGAAAAGATTTACTGCTTCTCTGGAGAATCTGCCAGACCACCCAAAGATGGTTTGGCTCAGAATGAGTTGAAATATGATGAATTTACTTGTGCCCGGGCAGTGATGACTATTGTAAAGGATGAGGATTCTTATTTGTGTCAACACTCTTTGAACAGCTCCTACCATACGGAAGAAATCGACTCTGGGTTAGATGATCTATCCCTACGGTCTCAGGACACAACTATACTTGGGACGCTCTCCAATGACTTCAGTATGGACAACATAAGTGACAGTGGTGCGTCAAATGAGACCATGAGTGCCTATTTGGAAAACTCTCTTGGGGAATACTCTTTTCCCTCAACCCCAATGGCCACTACACCAATTAATGGAAAACATGAAAGTGGAATCAAATCTCCAGATGAGCAGAGTGGGTCTTATCAGGCATATGGCTTGACAGAAGAAGAGCTGGAATACCATGCTGGTATTCTTGTCCAAAATGCTGTCCAGCAAGCCATTGCTCAGCAGAATGACAAATGGGAGCATCTTCAGGCCACACAACATTCGTCCCCCATTCTTGAGAGACATGTAGAAAGTACTGAACCACAACCCCAACCCCTAGTGGAGAGATCTGCTGTCATGCCACCTCCCAAAGTGCCATCCCCCCTGGAGGAGAAGAAAACAATTGCTCCTCAGATAACTGTAGTTCAAGCTGCCCCAGTTATCCCAGTGAACACTTACAAACCTCCCAGTCCCTCTCCACCACCAAGTGAGAAACCAGAATTCAGCTATTTCAGTAAGTACTCTGAAGCAGCAGAGCTCAGGAGCACCGCAGCTGTCACTCGTGCTAAGGAAACGGAAGTCACCTCAGGACCGTTCAAGCTGCGTTCACGCAAACAGAGAACCCTGTCCATGATCGAAGAGGAGATTCGGGCGGCCCAAGAACGCGAGGAAGAGTTGAAGAGACAACGACATGCACAAACACTGCACCTGCCCCGTACACAGAAGCTGAAGACCAGCACCCAGCCAAACAAGCTGGTCCTTGCTGGGAAGACAGCACCAGGTATGATTATATGGCAGCAAGACTTGATTACTTAGGAACGACATGTGTGGAACTTTATTTGATGAATCTAAACTACTTACAGTAACTTCTTAACTCATCCCAATTGATAACAAGCCATATAAAATGCAAATTAGTACTCATACTACAGCTGTTCTTTGTACAGTTTTTCATGGATTGCACCAGTTACTTCAGTCAGTAATCAATGCATCTCCCTCTGATGGTGTATATGCCAGTTTGACCTCTAATGCAAACCAGCAGCTGAAACCAAAGGTTCTGACATTTCTAGCTCTGACTAGCTTTGATGTCAATTAGCTGGTGATTGTCAGTCATATAACTGGAATCCTGGAGGTTTTCTTTATAGAGCTTCTTTAGTTTAGATTCCTTGCACACTGTGTCCCATGGGTGCAGACCCTAACCCACTGTTCTGCCTGAGTCACTTTTGCAAGCTGTGCTTTTTGAAGAGGGTTTTAAGAAAGCTGCAGCACAGCGGCGGAGGAGATGTTGCTTTTTGTTTGTTTTTTTACTATATGAACTTAATGACTGAACACTGCTCTTAATGATTGTCTAGATAATACTGTGTGGCTATATAGGTTACATAAATATATGTCAAGGTTTCCATTTCTAGAGACCGCTAACACTTTCAGTTTGTGTTGGTTTGATGTAAACATTTATTACAGTAGGCTGTACTTTAAATGTTTTTGTTTATGTTTGATTGGTTTTGTGATAAGAAGCGTGTTTAAACTCCATTGTCGCAGTCAGGCTTTATTTAGCATGGTGCTAGATGTAATGCTCAGCAGCACAGTGTTTAATGTCATTGTGTGCTGTTCCTGTTGGCGATTGTCCATGCACTTCTCATTCATGACGATGTTCTGTACTGGAGAAGTTTATGTCTGCCCTCTAGTGGTGTCATAGGGAAAAGATGAGTCCTTTCTTTTTGGCTTGCTTTTAGCTATAATGCTAAAGTTAAAGTCTGAATGATTCACTTAATGAAGGGGATCCGTAGAGGACAAATATAGACACATTTTCATTCAAACTTTGCATAAAGACTTGACATGCCAACATCCGTAGAAGAAAATAAGGGCACCTTCAGTTTCAGAGAATGTTATGTGACCAATTATGTGACAAACTATGGCCAGTATGGAATAAATACATATAATAATATATTATACTGCTCTTTTGTTGGATGTTTCATTCGGCCTTGTTTTTTAGATCAGTGGTTCTCAATTCCAGTCCTCACGTTCCACCGCTCTACATATTTTGCATGTCTCTCTTATTTAACACACCTGATTCAGATCACCAGCTCGTTAGAAGAGAGCTCCATGAATGAACTGTGCTCCGACTGACATGATCCCTACACAGTGTTCATTGCTCCCTAATCCCTAAGCACAGGAAATCTGTTGAAGTTTACTTCACTTCGGAACATTCATTCACGGATTTACGCTACGTCACTGTCTTCAGACACAGACGAAACTTACTAGAGAAGTGTGACATAATATACCTCATGAATCCTGTGATGTCCACTTCGTAGGGCACTTACTGTCGAATAGAACAAAAGTCTGAAGTGATAAGAGACATACAAAATGTGCAGAGCGGTGGGACGTGAGCGTTTTTTATACATGGTTTGGCTTTCTGACGTGGTTTTCTCTTAGATTCCCTTGATTTAATGGGATGAGAAACAGCATTGTGGGTTTTTACACTGAGTTCTCTGTGCCTCTAGTATCCATACTTGGGTCATCATCAAGAATGTGTCTAGGACTCTGGGCTCCTTCATGTCCCCTAAACTGATGAGTGATGATAAAAGTATCTTGCTGAAACATACTAAAATTCCAACTTAATCCATTTTCATATCAGTGCTTGGAATGGAATGTAACAACAAATCAGAAAGAGAGTTTGAATGGATCTTGTTAAAAATGTCAAGATTATATGCCGGTCATATTACATCCTACAATAAAAATAAAGAAATATCAAATTACATACATTTCTTGAAAATTAATGAATTATTCTGTCTTATTTTCCTCTGTCTGCAGGTAAGATAGAGAAGGTTCGTCAAGTTCCTCCAGCTTCGCCGTGCTCTTCAGATGGAGCTCTGCCCTCGCCGCTGTCTGATCTGGGCAGTGATGATTCTGGAGGACAGCGACCCAAGAACTTCATGCAGACTTTGATGAAGGACTACGAGACACACAAGGTCAAGCGCCGAGAGAAAACTGAGGACAACAGTGTAAGTATCTTATGGTTAGGTTCAAATGTATATAATGGTGGTAATCAGTAATATTGTATGGTATAATTAATTGTCAGTGGATTCTTCCTGTCTACAATTACATTCTTTCAGACATCCATTTGCATTTACAATCAAAACATTCACTTTCACTTTAATTGGCTTAACTTAATTCGATTTCATTCTATAAAGACATTTGGAATTGGAATTTGTGATTCCTGCCGCTAAAGTACCATCGCCATGACTTACACCAGAAACCATGTTCCTCTTTTTCATCTCATGCAAAGAAAGTGAAGAAACGGGACTTTCCAGCTCATTTAGAAACTGAATTCATAAAGACTTTGCCAAGTCAAAAACCACCATCGAATGCATACTGAGGACACACTGTTTAATGTCAACCACAGGCTTTTTGTTTTCCCCTTTTGTTTTCTCAAAAATCAACACATTTCCTCTTTAAAAAGCTATTATTTGGAGAACAAACTATAAAGTGCCCGTGTTTTGCAACTTCGCTGCACTGGCAGTATCACATTCCATTATTATTATTACTTCAGAACTACAGTAGTGGTAACAATATTGGTCTCTGAGGATTAAATTCACTTTCCGTTATGAATGCAAAATAAATCCATGACAATAACTGCAGCTTTATGTTGCACTTGTAATTTTGCTAAGTAAAATAGCCAAATATTTATAAAGTCCTCATTAAATATTTCCCAAGGCCTTACAAATTACATCTGGCATCACATTCAAACACAATACAAATTCATGCTTATTTTTACTCTGGGAAGGGTGTGGCCAAATATTGAAGACTGAGGTGGATCAAACATAAAACTTAAAGAATCAGCCATTTAAAAAAAAATTTATATTGGTTAACCACAGATCTAAAATAGGATGACAAGTCTCTTTCAATGTCTGTGGTTGTGATGGCCCTGAACTCACACAAACAAATACCTCAAATTGTCAATACATTTTAATAAATATAGTCTATACACCTGTTCCATGAAAAAAAAAAACTATAGGGAACAGCCCTAACAAAGTAAAGCACATAGTTATTTCAAATGAAGTCATTAGCTTTACCCAGAGCACACGGTATTGAGCTATTATCTACTTTCAAAAGCTGTTATCTACACAATAGCAAGTGTTTGCACATTAACAAATTCTTCCTCTTTCCCTCTCGTCAGTATGTCCGCTCAGTTACAACTGAGGTACTTGTACAATGCTTGTTTCAAACTACATTGTGCCTTCATTTCAAGTGTTATTGCATGTTTTTTGGGGGGAAAGTTGTAGCAGTGCCAAATACTTTGACATAAGAAAAGTGTTCAGAATAAATCATTGTATTATATGTGGTATCACTGCATCATTCATTACATACACAGCATATAGAGCCACATTTTGAAAAAGTCAAAGTATTTGCACCTACATGATCTACTGTACATCCAAAGTGCAGTGTCACGATCCATTCCCATGAAACCTGTGTCGATGAACTTACAATGTCCAGTCTTCATTTGATCATTTTACCACCTCCATTCAGAGTCCTAATATCTCAATCCTAATGTCTCTTTGTATTTGTATATTTTACATAGTATTCAAGTTATTTGAGAACTTCAGATTGGACATTTAGGTTCACTGAAATAAGACACAAAGCTTCCTGTGAGCCTAACACTTGGCACCTGGTTTTACAACAGTATTTCTTTTGAAACAGCATGGCTGTTCTCTTTTCTGCTTTATTATTTCTGCTTTCATTCTGTGTTTGCACTTAAAGGAACACGCCACTATTTTTGAAAATAGGCTCATTTTCCAACTCCCCTAGAGTTAAACAGTTGAGTTTTACCGTTTTCGAATCCATTCAGCCGATCTCCGGGTCTGGCGGTAGCACTTTTAGCTGTAGCTTAGCATAGATCATTGAATCTGATTAGACCGTTAGCATCTCGCTCAAAAATGACCAGAGTTTAGATATTTTTCCTATTAACTAGCTGGGGACTATTTTCAGGCGCTGCGTAATATCATTGCGCCTGCTGCACCCATGGTACGGCAGCAAAGTTCCTTGATTATTACGCCGGAATGAGAGTATAGTTCCTAGCCATATCGGCCTAGAAAATCACAACTTTTCATTTTCCGTCGGTCTTAGTACACGATGTAACTACAGAAGAGTCAAGTTTTAAATAGGAAAAATATAGAAACTCTTTGGTCATTTTTGAGCGAGATGCTAACGGTCTAATCAGATTCAATGATCTATGCTAAGCTACAGCTAAAAGTGCTACCGCCAGACCCGGAGATCGGCTGAATGGATTCGAAAACGGTAAAACTCAACTGTTTAACTCTAGGGGAGAAAATTAGTCTATTTTCAAAAATAGTGGCGTGTTCCTTTAAGCTTGTATTGTGTGTTGTGGAGTTTACATCTAAAGCGGTTTTGGACAATCAGACCCAAACTTGTACTCAGCATGAAACTGTTTGGAACAGGTGCGGTCTAAAAAGGACCATCTGGTGTGTATGTTTGCACATGTGTGATTAATGTTTTTAACTAAATGTCTTATACAAATTTTTAAAATGATATTGACATTACTTGTTTTTGTTGTTGTGCTCAGTATAAATAATGTATTGCCTTGCATACCTACCACAGTATAGCATGGTATTGTAAAATAACACATCATACTTTTTTATTTAATTTTTCTTACAGAAAATAAATAAATAAATAGAAATAAAAAAAGTAATAATAATAGTAAGTAAATAAGGGTTAAAGGGTTGTAGCCCTTCTACAACATACTTTTTTAGAAGAAAAATCAAGTTATATAGATAAAATATCATTGTAAGTCAACAAAAGTTTATGGTTGCAAGGGAAATATGCTATATGTATATAGCTATATATATACTGTATCGCTATGATGAAAATACCATTATAACATTAAAAAAAAACGTAAGATAGCCATTTCCACATATTTTTATGTTTATCTTCAGGTTCTGGAGGCAACACGTGTCACTCGAAGAAAAAGTAACATGGCTCTCCGGTGGGAGGCGGGAATCTACACCAACCAAGAAGAGGCTGAGGAAGAGGAGGAGGAGGAGGAGGAGGAAGAGTAAACCAAACTTTCAGAGAGAAAAACCAGAGGGAAAATATGCAGCAGGACAAACACAAGTATTTATTGGGAATTCAAACCTCTCTGAAGATTTGTTTCTGGAGCCTATGGGGAAAAAAAACCTTCTCTTGACATTGAAGACTAGAGATACTATACCGCTTCACATTTCCACTACCAAGTTATTGCTTTTTCTTTTGTGCTGATATGTTTTGAGAAAGTGGAATATGCAAAGACGAGCATCGAGGATTTTTGGCATTAATGTAAGATTGGTGTGAACTAAGAACATATTGCATTTGGACTTCACATACATAGAGATGTTATTGTGTGGCTAAGGACTTTGGAAAAAGAATGGTAAATATGGGATAATATTATGTTATTAGTAGGAGGAGCTTGGATATAGATGATAGCGTGCTGACTGATCTGATTTCTAGCTAGATTATTGACATTTCGACTCTGGTTTGATCAGGATTGGTGCCATGTATATGAGTTCAGCCGTGAGCCCATTTAGAAAGCAGAACTACACAAATGTGTCTTGCAGTGTCCGAAAGGGCAAAATACTGTTATTTGTTTTCCTGATCAGCCTGTAGGGATAACAAATCGTTGTTCAGAGAGATCATTCAGCGAGAAGCTTTAATGAAGAGGACAAATGAATGTAGGGCACAAATATTCACACCCTTGAAAGAGGTTTGTAAGAGCAGACTCTTCGCCCAGACCGATATAACAATAAATCCAAGCAGAAGAGGAAGAAGGCTTTGTATGGGCAGCAGCTGCTTTCTCCATTGACGAAAGACAGGAAATGTGTGTGAAATTAAACTTTAGGATGTTATTGCTGTTCGCAGTCGAAGGCACCTGTGTTTGGATTGAAGTTTAATGTAATGCAGTGCATTTAATGGCTGATGTAGATAATTTGGGAATGTTTATGTTGTGTTATGTGTAGCGCAGGAGAGCAAAAATGAAGGAAGAAAGTATTCACTGAATTGCATGATTTTTCCATTAATCTTAATTTAAAAGGGTGAATATTTCTCTTTACTTACATTGGCATTTTTGAAGCCTTTACACACAGAAAGTGTTAATGCAATACCATTATTTAACATGGTTTCAAACACTTTATTGATACATATGCACACATGGATGTCTGAAAGGTTTATTCTTTGTTCACATTCTTTAAAAAAAAAACAGTTGGCAATATAAAAGATTTTAGAACAAGCATCTATACAGGACACTGACATCGGTGATGTACGTGCAGCATAAAAGAGACAAAGCGGACAAATAAATGGACAAATCTTCTTCTATATTTAATCTTTGACTTCTCATTTTTGCCGTTGGTCTTTGGCATTTTTCAAGCCACAAACGAAGACAATCTCACAAGCTTCATTCAACAATGTGGCTTTGTTGTTTTTTGTACCCTCCACATATAATATATATATTACACAAAAGTATTTAATGGACTGCTGTCCTTTTATGAGTATACATGAAGTATTTGTAGTGTCTGGATTAGAGTGTCATATATTGCATAGGTTCTCAAACTGCAGGCAAAAAAATACAGTTATGCATTGTAATAATGTCTGGGTGGCGTATAAAGTTACACCTACAGAACTATAAATGTTCTTGCAGAAGGTGCATCGACTTTTTTTAATGGATGAAAACAGGTATTTGTTGATCTCTGGATACTGACTTAATGAAGTGTTCGTTTGTGTTGATGCTTGACGTGAGATTGTGTAATGACCATCAGTTTTACTCAGAGCAGGATATTGGATTTTTACTTGGATTCTTTGATATGAGATGATTATTGTTGGTGAGCAAATCCTTTGAATTTTATAAGGGGAAATATTTTTATTTGAGCAGTGAGATATATTCAGTGTTCCTAATGGAAAATAGTTTTGTAAAAACGACTGGTGTTTTACTGCACATTTATTCATATATACCGTGTTGTGTGTATTTGAGGGCCAAGTATGCCATACTATATGCATTTACAGAGGTTTTCATTAGTGCTATAGGCAACATTACTAGCACCGAGAAGGTAAAGTATTGACTGTGATGCTGACGGGTTTTGCATCATGAAATGTGCAGCATTCAAATGAAATGTAAAGCCAGCTTTAGCTTTCCTAAAGATGACATGCTTTTGTACTATAATGTATGAGGGGTGGACAAAAATGGTTGTTTTTACCTCATAAAGCTAACTTATAAGAAATAAGCCAATGTTCAAATCTACAATATAATAGGATTCCTATGGCATAGGATGGTGGCCAAATTGCTTTTAATGTAGACTACCAGAAGAAAAAGGAACCATTAGAAATTGAGCAATATTGCAGCTGTTGACGTGTAAAAGCATTATGGCAAAAGCATGAGCCTTTGAGGACATCTGGGAACAGCAGACAAGAACTGCAAGCACTTTAGCATAATTTTGGTGCAATTTCTCTTGCAAACAGGTCCATTGTCTATTGTCAGTATTGTATGAAGCACAACCAAGCAGCTTTCTGTTGGTCAACACGGCGAATTTGTGTTTCTAAATTGAACGCGATGCAAAATCTGCATGGGGAAATTTCTTTCGCCCGCACACTAAATTCTTGATTATTTAAATGACTGCATTTTGCCCGTGAAAATTCTCAAACTGTAAATGCAAATGCACCTTTAATTTTGCGAAATGTCATGGCTAATGTACACTTACTTACATACACTGTAAAAAAAAATCCATAAAATGTACGATAAAAAACCGGCAGCTGTGGTTGCCGGAATTTTACCGTAAAAAATACGGTAGCAACATTTTAGGTTTTACGGTTTTAACTTAAATTTACAGTTAAATACTGTAATTTCATTAACTGATATAATGTTAATATACCAACCTATTAAAGTACTGTAAATTATACAGTCTTTTTCACTTCCAAAAATGGTATACTACCGTAAAATTACATGTAATGTCCAATACAGTTTTTCACCGTATATAGTAGGGGAATTTATCATTAACCATTTAACAGGTTTTTACTGTAGCATTTGTACAGTCTTTTACCGTTAAATTCACGGTCATTTTTGACAGTGTAGGAATACGTGGGATTGAAGTTTTCACGTGAGGGCGAAAACGTTTTCGTTCGTGTTCATGCTGGTCAACAGAAAGCTGTAGGTTTGAAAGTGACTTCTGAACATTACTGACAAAAGAGCTTTTTGCTTGCGAAATTTCACCGAAATGTGGCTAATGTGAATGCTAAAGTTTTTAACTACAAACATGGTTTAGACTTGTAGTCAAGCATTTTCCTTGCCAGTGTCCCGTGTGCATGACAACTACTGCATCTTTTGCAATAGATTTTCAGTTTCATTGTCAGAAGACAGCTTTTCAAAGAAAAAAGAAAATCTTGCCTTTAATGAAATCACGAGAAGTATTGCTTTTTCAGTTTGAACCAAGTAAACTGTTTTGTTTTGTTTTTTACTTTTTAAGTAATACTACAAATATGTTGCGTGTTTTGCTCTTGTTGTTTAACTTACAAATCCATTTGCAAATGCTTCCTTAAAAGGTTTAATGAGTGTTCTATTTCCCTTTGGGAGAAACCAAAGGAATATTGATATGGTGTGATAATGAAATCATGCTTTTGCTTTCAAAAGCCCTCTTTTGACATGTTAACCACTTATTGTATGTTAATATTCTGCTTATATTGTTTCATAGTAATTGTAAGTCTCACTCTTACACATATATAATTATTTTCTCATTAAAAAGAAAATGTGTAAAACGTCTCTATTTCTGACTCCATCAAAATCTGTCAATGTGACAAATGTAATGCCATAAGAATTTACAGGAATATTTCACCCAAAAATGAGAATTTGCTGAAAATGTACCCTCACCCTCAGGCCATCCAGTGTAGATGTGTTTGTTTCTTCATGGGAACAGATTTGGATAAATGTAGCATTGCATCACTTGCTGACCAATGAATTCTCTGCAGTGAATGGGTGCCGTCAGAATGAGAGTCCAAACAGCTGATCAAAACATCACAGTAATCCTCAAGTAATCCACACCACTCCAGTCCATCAGTTAATGTCTTGAGAAGACAAAAGCTGCGTGTTTGTAAGAAACAAATCCATCAAGATGTTTTTAACTTCAAACTGTTGCTTCCAGCTAAAATATAGTATAAGAGTCCTGTACACTCTCAGAAAAAAAATGGTACAAAAGCTGTCATTGGAGCTGTACATATCAGTAGGCCTACCTAAAAGGAACAAAAATTTTCTTTTTGAAAAGTTACTGCCCTAGTGACAGCTTTTGTACAATTTGTTTTTCTGAGTGTGTATCCATAATATTTGCTTTCTCCAGTGAAATCACAATAAAATGCATTGGAGTTTTGTTGAGTGAATAGGCTATTCATAGTTTTCAGTCACGTGACCGGCTCGAAGACCTGGAGGGCAAAACATCCATAGAACTGCAGGACAAGCCTGTCAATTTTCCATCTGTTTCACAGCCGCAAATATTTAGATCATCTCTCAAAAGAATAAAACCTGTCACAGCCTTCAGCTGGTGTGCCCAGGATGGCCACCAGATGACACTGTGTTTTTCTGTGAGCACATGGCTTGTGTTGTGTTTGTTTGGTGCCATGTGCTCTCTCCTGTCTATTGTCTGTCCCTGCCCATCTTGTTATCTCATTATTGTTTAAGTTGCTCCACCTGTGTCTCCCTCGTTACCCTCCTCGTTTGTTTCCCTATTTATTCTCTCATTTTATTATTAAAAAGAAAGACCATTCTTCCTGCAATTTGAGTCCTCGCCTCATCGCTCCACATGCATCGTGACAGAACGGATCAGCCATAATGAGGACTCAGCGGAAGAAGGGCTTGCGCCATCCACCTGTCTCCACTCTCTCTAGCCCCCTCTACCAGCGCATGCTCCAGCTCAATGCCTTGAGCTCCCTCCGTCAACGAGGGACTGATCTGAAGGAGTTTGCAATGGAGTTTAGGAATGCTGCAGAGGGACTGGGCTACAATGACTCCACTCGTTAAATCATCTAAACCAATGAAAAATTAGTGTTTACTATTGTCATTTTTGCATTATTGACACACTATTTTCCTAATTAATGCTGTTCAGTTGCTTTGACACAATCTGTATTGTTAAAAGCGCTATATAAATAAAGGTGACTTGACTTGACTTGACACTCTAAAGGACTTCTTTAACTATGCCCTCGATGAGCCCATTAGTCGCTGGAGGATGTTGGGTTGCAAACATTTTATCTTTTGAGGGGTTTGTGGAGTACCTCATCCACAGTGGAAGGCAGTCAGCACTGCAAAGAGAGGTGCCTTCTCATGGGGTGCCTTTTCACAACATGGCCGCCACACCAGAGGCTCTTCATAAGATGGCCACCAGCCCAGAGCCCCACTACAAGATTGCTGCAAGTCCAGAGTCTCTTCACAGGATGGCCGCCAGTCCAGAGTCTCCAGCCATCATGGCCTCCACACCAGAGTCTTCAGCCGTCATGGATACAACTTTAGTGTTCTTGGGTATTATGAACATGCCGCATGAAGTCAGAAGGGTGGGCCCAGGGCGTTTGAAGCTGTTGTCCAGTTTGGCAGACCCACAACTGATGTCAGTGCGAGCAGCTGGCATCTCTCTGGTGGTCTCAAGTCCGGTGGTCCTGAAGGACCCGACTCCGGTGGTCTCAGAGGTCACCACAGAGCTGCCCGATTTCACTGCTGCTGCCATAATCAAGAAGGCCGTCTTTGCCTTTCACCTCATGGCTGTTCTGCGGGCATGGGCTGCTTC